CCCCATGGTCTTCTGTTAAGTTTCTCAAGATCCACATCTGAGTGAAAATATATGGTATTGGTGTTTCTCTTGGATATTTCTACTTAAGCCATGCCCTGACACATACCCATGAAAATTTTGAGATAATAAATGTGTGTTGCTTTAAGCTGCCAACATTGTGGCAATTTGTTATGCAACAATAGAAAATGAATAAACCCTATTAGTGGTCATCCTTCCAAGTAGAAGGTGTTGATTCTAGTTCACAGTTGTTCCCAAATCCTCAGAACCACCTATATCATACCTCCTCAGAGATATCAGCACTAGCCAAGCTAAACCCCACTCTTAAGGCAGTCTGAATCCCAGATACATGGACATTTCCTCTGTGTTCCTGTGGCATCTGTACCAGATTTTAAGTATTAATTATTGCAATACATGTCTAGATTTAGAGCTGTAAGTTCTGTAATTTTGCCCACCTCCCACATGTTTTGCTGTGTAGGATACTCAGTGTCCTTTATGTTCAAAGAAATTCTATTTTGTCAGTATTTCACCCTTAGCCAAATGTTGGTTTAAACATGCATTGGATCAAGAGTCAGATGTTCCTAAAATCCAATATTATTTTTTTTTTAATTTTTTTTTTTAACGTTTATTTATTTTTGGGACAGAGAGAGACAGAGCATGAACGGGGGAGGGGCAGAGAGAGAGGGAGACACAGAATCGGAAACAGGCTCCAGGCTCTGAGCCATCAGCCCAGAGCCTGACGCGGGGCTCGAACTCACGGACCGCGAGATCATGACCTGGCTGAAGTCGGACGCTTAACCGACTGCGCCACCCAGGCGCCCCCAATATTATTTTTTAATCACTCAGATAATGTGGGCAATAATATTATCAGCAATGTTTCATGCTGATATAAATTTTAGGATTCAACATAAGAGGTTGAATTAAAGGCATTATTTATTATATTTTTATGGTTCTTTTCTTCAGGATGGATGCATCTTGCGACCAAGGAGGAATGATGATGACTTCACTATATTCACTAGAGGTTTAAGATTTTTCTCCAATATTAAACTTAGGCAAATATACACCATAGTAGAGTTTTTTTCATAAATAATAAAATAGCCAAAGGAAAAAATAATTTTGACAATGGATTATATTTACTGAGTATGTTACAGCCTTAATTATAAATATTTGTGTAAATTAACTCATTTGATCCTTACCAAACCCAAGTATGCTAGTGAATATAGCCATGCCCACTTTACATAAAGTATACTAATACATATAAATATGTTTTTAATATAAATACATTGAAATGGAAATAATTAAAAAAAATTAAAATGTCCCCACATTACATTTGGGCAAAATCATTAGGAAAAACTCTGCAAGGATAAGTAACATGGAGGGGAAGAGAGAAAAATAGCATAGCATAGTATGGTCAAAAGGGAAGCCAGCTTACTCTGTCATGTTAGGGGCACCTGGGTGGCTCAGTTGGTTAAGTGTCCGACTTCAGCTCAGGTCATGATCTCACACTCCGTGAGTTTGAGCCCCACGTTGGGCTCTGGGCTGACAGTTCAGAGCCTGGAGCCTGCTTTGGATTCTGTGTCTCCCTCTCTCTCTCTCTGCTCCTCCCCCACTTGCACTATCTCTCTCATTCTTAAAAATAAACATTAAAAAAATTAAAATATGTACATGTTAAAAGGTATGCATGGATTATTTCAACAATGAAAAGCAGACAAGCAAATACAATGTGCCAAGTAGGATGCTACATGTGACATTCCTTATAAACACAAAAAGTGGAGTTAATCACAGTATTTAGCCATAGATGTTTGGTAAAAATGATGGTACAGTCATATATATTAACATTATTAATACACTTAATCACATGGAATGTTCTGTATGACATATCTTGTCATTAAAAAGGCAATTTATGAGACAATTTGAGTAATGTGATTACATTTGCTTTTAAAAATTTATGAAAAGATCTGTTCCAACAATGTGACAGTAGCTATAGTCCCTTGGGAGGATGAAAGGTAAATTTATTGGCTTCTTTGTAGAATTAAAAAATTTAGAAAAAATTATCACAACAAAATATCACTTTTATAAAATAAAAATATTAATTTATATATACAAATAATGATATCATTTTATCAATATTAAAATATATATCTTAAAGTGATGATATTTTAAATAAAATGGTACAGATGTAAAGATATGTAGGTAAAAATTTATTCTAAAAAGATCAATTGAAGAGTTCCCAAATTGGATGTTGGGGTATAAAAAGACTGTCATTAAATACAAGCTTATAACACTAAAAATATAAAATATCATGAAACTGTGCATAAATAGCATCAAGAAATAGGTACTGAATAAGTTGCACTGGAATAAGAATTTTGGTGATGGAGTGCCTGGGTTGCTCAGTCAGTTAAGCGTCTGACTTTGGCTCAGGTCATGATCTCGCAGTTCATGAGTTCAAGCTCTGCTTTGGATTCTGTGCTGACAGCTCAGAGCCTGGAGCCTGCTTCAGATTCCATCTCTCTCTGTCTCTCTCTGCCCCTCCCCCACTCGCACTCTATCTCTCTCTCTCAAAAATAAATAAACATTTTAAAAATTAAAAAAAAAAGAATTTTGGTGAGAACAAAATAAATTCAAATTTTTAATGTACAACTTATAATAATATAGTATTTTAGCTATGCATAAACTAAACAAATTATAGCTATATAAAAAACAAAGTTGATTTAACGTATTTTAAAATATGAAAAAGTACAACAAAAAAGATTTTTTACCTTCTCCACTCAAGATTAGAAAGTTTTAAAAATTGGGGCACCTGGGTGGCTCAGTTGGTTAAGTGTCCAACTTCAGCTCAGTTCATGATCTCACAGTTCATAGGTTTAAGCCCCACATCAAGCTGTGCTGACAGCTCAGAGCCTGGAGCCTGCTTCGGATTCTGTGTCCCTCTCTCTCTCTTGCCCCTCCCCTGCTCATGTTCTGTCTCTGTCCCTCTCTATCAAAAATAAACAAACATTAAAAAAAATTAAAATAAACAACAAAGTTTTTAAAACTTAGAAAGGAATGAGTTGTTGATAGAGGCCTTCCAATATTCATTTTATTCTTATGGTAGTTAAACTGTGAAACACATAAGTCATTCTCATATCAATTATATTTCTACATTTTCTCACCAATAAATTCTTAGGATTTCTCCTATTATGTTTCTAGGGTTTATCTTCCATGCCATGTTACCTAAAAGATATGCTTAAATACAAAGCTTCCTTTATACTATTTCTTACTATTATGAACTTTTTGATGGCGATTAAGATTTGAACCCCTTGCAAAAGCCTTCCCACATTTCTTACACTCATAGGGTTTCTCACCAGTATGAATCCTTTGATGCAGAATAAGGTCTGAAGAACGAAGAAAAGCTTTCCCACATTTGTTACAAGTATATGGTTTATCACCAGTATGGATTCGCTGATGCCGGGCCAGGTATGTTGCACAAGTAAAAACTTTCCCACATTCATTACATTCCCAGGCTTTCTCACCTGTGTGAATTTTCTGATGTTGTATAAGTATTGAGTTTCTACTCAAGATCTTTCCACATTCTTTACATTCATATAGTTTCTCATCAGCATGAATTAACTTGTGTCGAGAAAGTTCTGATGAACGACGAAAGGCCCTTCCACATTCCTTACATTTGTAGGGTTTCTCACCAGTATGAATCCTCTGATGTTGAGTAAGATCTGAAGACTGACGAAAGGCTTTTCCACATTCCTTACATAAATATGGTTTCTCACCTGAGTGAATTCTCTGATGTGCTGTAAGTATTGAGCCAGTACTAAAAGCTCTTCCACATTCCTTACATTTGTAGGGTTTCTCACCGGTATGAATCCTCTGATGCCGAATAAAGGCTGAAACATTACTAAATGCCCTAACACAATACTTACATTTGTAAGGTTTCTCACCAGTATGAATTCTTTGGTGTTGAGTAAGGTATGAGGAATGACGAAAGGCTTTTCCACATTTTTTACATTCATTGGGTTTCTCACCTGTGTGAATCCTTTGATGTACTCTAAATATTGAACTTGTACTAAAAGCCTTTCCACATTCATTACACTCATAGGGTTTTTCACCAGTGTGAATTCTCTGATGGCGAATAAAGGCTGTACCATTATTAAATTGTCTAACACAGTACTTACATTGAAAGGGTTCCTCACTTGTATGAATGCTATGATGTAGAAAAAACTGTGAAGCATTAGTAAAGGCCTTCCCACTTTCTTTAAATTCATTAGATTTTTCTTTAGTAAAAATTATCTGATGTTGTATTAAGTGTGGGCCCCTATTCAAAGACTTCATACATTCCTCACGTTCATAGGATCTCACACCAATATGCACTGTATGATGTGAACTAAGTTTTGAAGTTCTACCAAGGGCCCTCCCATATTCCTTATAGTCATAAAATTTCTTGGCTGTATGACTTTCTTGATGTGTAGTAAGTTTTGAGTCCTGTTCATAGGCATTCTTATATTTTTTGCATTCATAAGATTTCTCTTTGGTATTAAATGTTTGAGGTAGAGAGAGAGATATATGCTGAATGAAAGGGGACATGTCTTCAGAGGTACACGAGACTTGGCCAAAATGTTTTTCCTGAGATCCTTGTTTAAGTCCATGCTTAGTAAATCCTTCCATTATAACCCATTGAGATGAATTTATTTTATAGTTATCCTTTTTCAGAGATAATTTCTTGCTCTCACACCTAGATTTATATTCTGAAAGAAACCACAAATAAGACATTCACTTTTTTTGGTGGTGGTGGGGATAGACACAAAACTTAGAAAAGGCAGAATTACATTGACATTAATCTATAAATGTAAATATAAATTATAGTTCTTATATGGTGGTACAATTTGAGAGATAAAGTATAGAAATTGAAAAGTGATAGAGGGGGGCGCCTGGGTGGCGCAGTCGGTTAAGCGTCCGACTTCAGCCAGGTCACGATCTCGCGGTCCGGGAGTTCGAGCCCCGCGTCGGGCTCTGGGCTGATGGCTCAGAGCCTGGAGCCTGTTTCCGATTCTGTGTCTCCCTCTCTCTCTGCCCCTCCCCCGTTCATGCTCTGTCTCTCTCTGTCCCAAAAATAAAAAAAATAAAAAAAATAAAAAAAAAAACGTTGAAAAAAAAAATAAAGTTTGAAAAGTGATAGAGGAAGGCATGGGGGAAAGGGATCAGAAAAAGATTAAGTCAATGACTCTTAAAGTTTGGAATAAGTTCAAAGTATACTTCAGCAAAAACCCAAAAGTCTGATAACCTAGTCTAGGTTATTTAATAGGTAAGTAATTTCTCTCACACATTCAGTGTAGCAAATATCATAGGAGGATATTTGCCAGTTTCTAGCAAAAATTATATAAGTATTTATCCTTTGAGCAATCCCAGTTCTAGGAACCCAAACATAATTTTAGGAAAGAATCTGAAGAGATTTATGCAGAAAGTTATCCACCACAGAACTATTTGTAAGAGCAACTGACTATAACCAATCCAAATATCCACCAACTTGATACTACTTGAACTCACTGTAGTGTATGCACACAGTAGAGTTCTATGTAATTGTATAAAGAAATAAGAAGTATCTATATATTCCTATTGAATGATCTTCATCACTTTTTTAAGTTAAAGAACAAGGTGGAGTAAACTGTATCTAGGGTATGCTGCTACCATTTATGTAAGAAAGAGGATATATAAAGATATGTGCATAGATGCTCACATTAAACAAAACAGAGAAAGGATAAATCATGAAGTTTATACAAGATATACTATGGTGGGGGAATAAAAAAATGGGAGGGGTAAATTCAAATATATAACACAAATGTAGTAGAAATTGATATTAGGTGAGGAATATGCTATTTTTGCAACTTTTTGTATATATAAAATTATTCCAAAACTTAAAAAAAAGAAAAAAGGAGTCATGCCCATAAAAATCATGAAAAAATATGTACTACTTCTATTGAACACTTTCTGGAAGATGTAGGAATAGTGATGAGACTAGAAAGGAGTATCAGTTACAAGCATAGGAAAACAAAAAACAAAACTGAAAATATTTGCAAATTTTGTGACTGCATGGAAACTCTACTAACTACTGGAACTATTATTTCTAATAATTAATGAGTTATGGCAAAAATAAACATATAATGCCAAGAAAGATAAGTCAGTTTTTTATGTCTTTTTTTTTTTTTTTTTTTTTTTTTTTTTTTTTTTGCCACTGTCTATATGGAATGATTTTCACAACTTGTTAAAAATTATTGAAAGAAAACCAGGACAGTAAAAAAGAGTGCAGAGAGAATAATATCCCATGTAAAAGCAGGAAGGAGAATTAAGAATATAAATGTGAATGTGCTTTATTTCTGAAAAAATAAATGCAGAAAGGATTAATCAGACTACCCTAACCCCCACCCTCACCCCCCAAAATCTTTTTACCTAGATTGAGAGGGGCAATGAATGAGAGGCAGAGAGAAAGGAAAAAGAGCAGAGAGAGAGGGGAAGAGAATCCCAAGCAGGCTCCACACTGTCAGCATGGAGCCTAATGCGGGGCTCAAACTCATAAACTGTGAGATCATGACATGAGCCGAAATCAAGAGTCAGATGCTTAACCAACTGAGCCACCCAGGCGCCCCCTAAGTATATTTTTATATTGACTTTTGAAGCATGTAAATGTTTTATATATTCCAAGTATAAATTAAGAAAAAACCTAAACTCAACAATTAAAATAAACTGCATATTAAGCTGAAAATGCACAAAAAAGAATTAATCTAGCAATTTTTCAAACTGTACTCTGATTAGAAATCCTTAGTGTAACATATTCTAAGGGAAAACAGGAAAAGAAACAAAGTGTAATAAATCATGAATATGGCTTCAGGTAGGTTTTCCTGTCAGTAGTTGTATGATATTCTAATTTTGAAACCGTTCTGTAGTATTGGGACAGAGTCCCAAGTCTTGGGACAAAAGACTTGAGTAACTATACTCATGTTGGAGGAAATAGGGTTTTTTCACTGTTCAAGAAAAAGTTACAAAACTGAAATGCAGAAAAGTGAGACAGAATCTCACCTTTGGACTTCAATTAGAGTTATTAGTATTCAATTATGAAAGATAGTTTCCTGAGGCACCTGGGTGGCTCAGTTAGTTAAGCGTCTGACTTCGGCTCAGGTCATGATCTTGTGGTTCGTGAGCTTGAGCCCCGTGTTGGGCTCTGTGCTGACAGCTCAGAGCCCAGAGCCTGTTTCAGATTCTGTGTCTCCCACTCTCTTTGCCCCTCCCAGCTCACTCTCTGTCTCTCTCTCAAAAATAAAGATTAAATAAAAAGAAAATAAATAGAGAAAATAAAGAGAGAGAGACAGGTTCCTGTCTCTTTCCATTTAATGGATATAAAAGCAATGACAATCCAGTAGTAATAAGCACACTACACACTCATATTGGTCAATCAACACCATTCCCTATTAAAAGAAACTAAGACTTTTTTTAAAAAAAAATTTTAATGTTTATTTATCTTTGACAGAGAGACAGAGCATGAGCAGGGGAGGGGCAGAGAGAGAGGGAGACACAGAATCTGAAACAGGCTCCAGGCTCTGAGCTGTCAGCACAGAGCCCGACGCAGGGCTTGAACTCACACTCACAGACTGCGAGATCATGACCTGAGCTGAAGTCAGACGCTCAACTGACTGAGCCACCCAGGCGCCCCAAGAAACTAAGATTTTAATGAGCTGGCTAATTCCAAGTCGGGAGCAAGAATAATACAAGATGAGACTGGAACATATTTTTGTTCCAGGAAACAAGAAGGTCATTAAAGATTCATGCACTCATGAAAAAAAAAGGATGCAGAAGCTAGTTGTAAGGGGCTTTCAATGGCCAAATATGAATGATAGTTTAATATCAAAAAAGAATGATTACAAAGGGTTATAAGATATTGATTTTTTTAAAAGAAGCAATGAATCTGTAGTGTTTCTCAAACAAAAGTGGAAAGAAAAATCTCTTTTTAATAAAGCAAGGCCAACCAATAAATGCAGAAAGAAAGCGATAAAATTAGAACTTTTCTAAACTCAATGTAATAACTGTTTTGAATAAGAATGAATACCAAACATTTTGGGTGAAAGATTTCTACAGGATAGTTATACAGTCTTCAAGTATTACTGCACTAATTATTTAGTATTTATTTATAAGGGGGGAAATGTACCTTTCCAATGGAAAGTTCTGGCAGTCATCTCCAATCACCTTGACTTTGCCTCCTGATATGATGAATTAAGAAGTACACAACCCTGGGGTGCCTGGGTGGTTCAGTCGGTTAAACATCCAACTTTGGCTCAGGTCATGATCTCATGGTTTGTGAGTTCGAGCCCCATGTCAGGCTCTGTGCTGACAGCTTGGAGCCTGGAGCCTGCTTTGGATTCTGTGTGTGTCTCTCTGTTCATGCTCTGCTCTGTCTGTCTCTCTCTCACAAAAATGAATAAACATTAAAAAAAATTGTTTAAGAAGTACACAACCCCAAGTATCAAATCAGAAAAAATTGCTTAATGTGAATTCAATATTGGGGTTGTGCTTAGATAAATCCTGAATGTAAAACATTATAGGACAATTTGACATTCACTGTTAAAAATATTCTTGTTTTGGGGCGCCTGGGTGGCGCAGTCGTTAAGCGTCCGACTTCAGCCAGGTCATGATCTCGCACTCCGTGAGTTCGAGCCCCGCGTCGGGCTCTGGGCTGATGGCTCAGAGCCTGGAGCCTGTTTCCGATTCTGTGTCTCCCTCTCTCTCTGCCCCTCCCCCGTTCATGCTCTGTCTCTCTCTGTCCCAAAAATAAATAAACGTTGAAAAAAAAATTAAAAAAAAAATATTCTTGTTTTGAAAAAAAAAATGGGCAAGATATTGTTCTTGATTCCAAGACTAAAAGAAACATAGAATAATTTATTTTTAAAAAGATACACATTCCTCAAGATGATGTAATAAAATTGAACATATGCATTGTATACATCGCTGGAAAAAGCTTTAAAAATCGTCTACTTTTAGGGGCACCTAGGTGGCTCAGTCAGCTGAGTGTTTGACTCCTGATTTTGTTGTGGTTGTGAGATTGAGCCCCACATTGAACTCTGTGTTGAGCGTGCAATCTGCTTAAGACTCTCTC